AGACTTGGGTACCCAATACCCAAACCCAAGTCCAAGACTTGGGTACCCAATACCCAAACCCAAGTCTCAGACTTGGGTACCCAAACCCAAGTCCGAGACTTGGGTACCCAATACCCAAACCCAAGTCCGAGACTTGGGTACCCAAACCCAAACCCAATACACCCAAGTCGCTTGGGTTTGGGTTTGAGTTTGTAACATACCTAGTCGTGACAGAATTACATTTTTTTTCTAGTGCCCTACAAACTTTGAAAAATGCTCTAAAATGAGATATATTTAGAAAAAGTCTAATATTATAGTTGTAGAGCATAAAAGCAGCTTACGAATCATCTATTTACTCTCAGTTAAAAATGTTTAAATGAAAAGAAACAAGCGAAATGACTCGCCAATGGAATTACATCACTTTTTTTCTTTCTTTTGCAGTGGCTTTTATCGTTATAGTTCTACGGGTAAAAAGACTTCTATAAATTTGATTTGTACGGCACCTTATGCAATGGAGTGCTCTCTATCAAACTAAGCGAAAAATACAGTAGGAAAAATGTTTTTGATTTTTGTAAAATTGCTCCAAAAAAAGTACCATTTCGATTTCGGCAAAAACTAACAAAAACTTGTTTAATGTGTAAAATACGCTTTTTAAGATTGTTTTGACATAGTCAATAATGTATTTTGTAGAAAATTTAATTCTTTATCTACTGATATACTTTCTGGAACTTTTTAAAAAGCTATGTAGGTCGGTTAATTGAAATAAAAAGACTAAAAGTTTTAAATTTGAATTCTCCATTTAACCCTTTACGGCCGAGTGTTAACTACCGGTAACATCGATCTATTAAGTGTCGAAGGAATTTCGTTCTAAAAGAATACACTTTGCCGATCCCTGTCACAGCAAAACAATAAATATAAAGAAAGAAATGTTTTTATTAGTTAATTTTTGGCAACCGACAGAAAAGAAATATGTACAGAAGGGGATATTGTTACTAAATGGCTTATGCAGTCGGCTGGTTCATCGACGTAGTGTATCATATATAACAAAATTTAGCGAAACTGAACTATTTCTTCAGCTGCAAGTATTAGAATTAAATTCGACGCGTCCCAGCGCGTTGAATAAGCGCAAAACAGATCAAAGAAGCCGCTTTCTGCACTTTTTGCACTAATTAAAATTAAGTGCGCGTAGATCATTGAAAAGACATGAAGGTAAAAGATAATCATACTAATTAGCTGATTTTCTTTATGAAACGACTAATTCAAGATACGCGCATATCTCAAAAGATCCAAGCACTGTTTCAAGAAAGTCGCGCATCATCCTAATAAGCCTTAAACTTAGTATGAACATACAGTAATTTCGAATCATCAACTTTTTGCATGATGTGATGATCAGACTGAGATCAGATCTTTGTGTTCTAAACAAAGTTACATCAGATTCGAAAATAATCGCTTCAAATCTTCTTCTTGTAAGAAATTACATTTGCGATATAAAGCAAGCCAAAAAATAATAACAGTCATTGGAAAATTTCTCTTTAGTTTAGTTTATTCATGGTTATAATTTCAATAAGTTCAGAATAATAACATCAGAATCTACTAGCGAAAACGAGAGCATTATTATCTAACTAAATTTGGTGTGATTTGATGTATTGGGTATCTTATGTGTAACATTTGTTACTTTAAAGTTTTTTGCAGACTAAGCAATTATGAAGACAACATGTCAAATCAATTCATAATCAATGAGACAAAACTTTAAAAACGTTTAAGGTGATACATGTCAAAAGAGGACTAGACACTCCAACTCTGGAACTGAAGTTACATCCGACGCTGAATCTTTTTTCTTGGACAGAGCTAAAGATCAGCCTATGGAATATTAGCTAGTAAGATTTAAGAGCATAATTTGAAGGACTGAGTTAACCATTGTTAGTTGAGACCCTCAATTAACAATAGAACCTTTTTGCGCTCTGTCGAATGTCCTATTTTGATCTTTTTCAGAACGAACAGAAAAAGTGAAAAGCACATATCCCAGGTAGACATCTGCGGGATCGTCCCAGTTCAGGTCCGGGGGGACTTTTTACGGGACCGGGACGAAACTTCATAGGACCGGGACGGTCCCCAATCTGTATAGGGCAAAGAACTTCCCATAAAAATAAATTTTCGAATTGTCTACAATTTGCCGGTGGCGCACAGCATGTCTGTTAGTCAGCTGAAGGGCTACTACAAAACTCACGTCACTAGTAAATAGGCATATATGAGTGACGTAACATCCGGGTATGCACCAGTTAAAAACTGGTGTTAGGACATCCTGAAAAACTGATATAATCCGATTACGAAGAACCGGTAAGAGTTGTGGAATGTCACATTTTGTAAAAAAATATTTTGTCTATAATGTAGAAATCTACGAAAAGTTTTTAAGCTATTCGTGACAGAAATGTGAACATTCTAAAAGTCATTGAATTGTGAAAAACTATCATTATCCAGTAAACTATCATTGTCAGCTGTTAGTTTCAAATACGTGTCGAGTTCATCCGGTTGTCCTTTGTTATAAAATGATTGATTATCACTTCAGAAAGACGACGAAAAGCAATCGCCTTTTCTTCCTTGTTTCTGCCAAAGAATCAGAATAAAAAAGAACTCCCGGCTTTTCCAGTGTAGGCTAGGGATATCTCCTACTAGCAAAGCTTGCTCTACGAAGAAAATAAATAAACAAATTTCCATTCAAGCCCATGGACAGATAAAACCGTGTGTGTACTATAAAAGATAATTAGGATAAAAGTGGCAAGAAGCAGAAAAATGCAGGATCCACAAATCGTGATGTTTATGGTAAATTCTTATCCTGGTCTAAATAAAGTCAGTATACTGATCAGGAACCAGTAACCTGTTCTTATTACATTCCAGTGATCTGATCAGGTTACTGACCAGATGATCTGATCTTTCAACAGTGTCATGTTTCATTCTACCCTAATGAATGTAAGTGTAGCTAAGGACTTGGATAAGAACTTGGTACAAGGAACGTCACAAAAACTTAGTTGCAAGTTCAAGGACTTGGGTACCTGACAAGTAATTTACTTGAACCAACTATTTTGGCCAAGTACTTGGGTCAAGTATATTCTAAGTCCATGAATGCTGATGTTTTAAGACCTTAAGCGAAAGACTTTTCTTAAATTTTCCTTTTTTATATGACAGCCATAGTCGTCAGTCATACGATCGCATATGATCGTAAGCTCTTCCTCAAATGAATATGTTCAAAAATCAAAAAAAAATTGAAATTATTCTAAGTATGCAAATTTGCATTTATATACAATCAAACGTGTGAAACAAAATGGTGATTCAAGAATTATCAAAATCTTGAGTTCATGGAATATGTTGAATTTCTTATGTTTTCTCGCCAAGATCGTGCTTCAAGATCTTGTTGAAAAAATTCAAGGTCTTGGGTACAAGAAGTTTCACTGGGGTAAAATGATCTTACTTGATAAAGACTTGCTCAAGTCCTTGAAAGTACTGAGAAAATACAAGACTTCTTAAGAATTTGTTCAAGTCAAGTCCTTGGGTACATACTTCAAGTTCTTAAGAACTTGGTTGCAAATACATTCACTAGGGGTGAGATATACAACTACTAACATCATTTTTTTGCTTCTCTGTTATAGAGTTTGCCGTCAAAACTATCATATTTAAAAGATTTTTCTTTATATTGCTACAACTGATTGATCAGTTTGAAAGAACTGGAAAAAATATTTATTAATATGATTTATTTAACTAAATTAAGTTTTTTTTCTATTGTATATTTTTTTTCAATTAATCTACCATCATTACCGTTTTATGGATCAAGAATTAGTCAAATGTTATCAAATATTTCAGATTTAGAGAAATTACAGTTTCAAGTTGAGTTTAAAATGAGTAAATCGACGTGTTTCACCCCATCATATCAATCATTAACAGAAGAAGCGTTTAGAATTATCAATAAATGGAATATTGTATTTAATTATGATGAAGAACGAAAGCATTGTTCTATTTTTACTTTACCATCAATGCCACATACATCATGTCCCTTTCATTCACTCTCACCAATTTGACGTTATAGTAGTTCTAATCATGATTATTCGAGTGTCAGACAAATAGAAATTTTTGAATCATCCTCTCAGTCGATAGTATTCTCTGAATTGGCTAAAATTCTACCAGAAAACTGTTCAAAATTAACAAGTCTTACAATCTCAAATGAAAATATCGGTAAAAGTGGAACTTTTTCTGATAGTAAATTACGATTAAATCATCTCAAATATTTGATAATTAAACAAAATATATCCTACCTTGATCGACTTCTGTTGCTGGTACCATATTACCTTGCGCAAGTGCCCATTGCTCTATTTGATTCATGATTACTGCGCATTTTTCGGTAGTCATACCTTCTGAAATCTGAATTAATGCAATAAGTCGTTTTTCAGATTCGTTTCTGCCTTCATCTGCCTGTCTTGCAGCCCTCTCGTATCTTACCTTCCCGGCCTCGAGGTTTGTCATACTGTACAGTGGTGTCACATATCTGTGTACACGCGATGGAAGCCGCTTGACGTCAGTCATATCGTCGATATATGTCTCTAAGTATTCCGATATTACCTTGTAGTAATCTCGTAAAAAACGTGCAGAGATATATTTTCTTATCGCTCCATGGTAACTTCGGTCTTCTAGAGTTTCCTCGGGCTCATTTTCTACCATCTGTCTAATGCTGTCTGGCAAAATCCTTATTATCTCTTGCTCCTTCTCTGTATGTAACGCTATGAGCCGTAGCTCATTATTCGAAGGAAATTTTCCTTCATATTCCTGCGAAGGAGTGTCTTATTCGTGGCGTCAACCCTTGAATAGCGAGAGAATGTTTCTTTTATTGTTTGAACTAATTTTAGTACAACAGTGCCATTTAAATGTACGCCGTTGTTTTTTAAGTCTTCATCTTTTATGTCCGTCGCGACCACTGTGTAGCCGTATATATGTGCCATGTCGTGTAGCCGTATATATGTGCCATGTCGTGTAGCCTTTCGTTATATTGACGAATTGCATTCATCATTTCTTCTCGTGTCTGCTGTTGCCAACATGGTTTGATTCGATTTATAATTTCGTGTACGTACACACGCTGAACTGATCGATATTTGTATTCTAATGTTGCAATTAGTATATTCAACTCAGCCATGATTTGGTCAATTGACATTCCACATATATCGTTGGTACCAGCAATAATCAGACATGATTCGCATTGCCGACAAGCACGCATAGAATCGTTAGATTCTACCCATTGGGTTATTGACAAATGTGGATCACGATTTTCAAATGTAGCCCTGCTACAACTTTCTATTTTGACGAAGCAGTGCTCATTGCGTAACATCTCGCCTTGTATTTCTCTCCCTAATGAGTTGTATTTCTCTCCCTATGCCATTTGGTCGTCTGATGACTGGTAGTTGCAACAGGGTATCTGTCCGTTGTCTACCTCTTCCTGGTGGTCTTGCACGTCTGCGCTGATTGTTGCTTATATTGCTCAGCTGATTATCGTGGTCTTCCCGTCTTCTACTCTGTTGATCAGCCGCCGGGTATGGTCTTCCTCCTCTGGCTCGCCCTCTTCCACCTCTGTATCCTCGGGGTGGCCATCCCGTTCGTGTTGCTCGATTCGAGTTTGTATATTCTGCCGAATATACATGGGCGAACCGACTTTTAACTTGCACTTGTTGTGGTGTTCGATTCTCTTTTAATCGTACGTCTTCGCACGGGTAATAAACCGTCGTCGGTTGTATTGGCGGTAGTGTTTCATTTGCCCATCCGGTTGCATGACCATCAAGACTGGGGTATCCCACAACTTCTGAACTTATTTGGAAACCTTGGCCTGAAGTTGTGGGAAACCCCAGTCATATCACATAAACCCAACGTGGAATAATTTTGAAATGATGTTTGAATCATCAGGCTGCAATTGTTGATGGTAGATAACTAATACTTTTTCACAAAGAGAATAAACTACATACGAATTATAATCATGAGATGACTGGAAATCTCGAAATGCCATGGAGTATAGATAATCAACTACGCTGAACAACATTTGTTTTTGTGTGGAAATGAAAATAACTTCGCCTTATATCTCGCTCAAATCTTATGCTGACTCAAGGCAACTTTCAGAAAACCTTCAGAACTCTTTTTTTTGGTTCCGATTAGAGCTGATTTTGGATATTTCAAAGGGTAAAACCTGATCTTCATTCAGATGTTCATTCATTAAAATAAAATTTTTCCACCACATTTATGTGACCAATTTGGACCATCATCTGATGCAATTATACAAACTGATTTTACAGATAAACGGTTTAGTTCTAATATATTTTCGAGACTATTAATATGCATTTGACTAGTTGATTTATAATATGTATCTGAATGTGGACGAATATGAAGTTTTCCTGATGACTATGTATTTTTTGTATCCGTTGCACGGTTGAAAAACATGCATACGAGGCAAATAGAAGGTATCCTAGGCATGTTATGTCCTGTGTTATGTGTAATTTTTACATATATGTAAAAGTTACACATAACACAGGACATAACATGACGTCAGAAGAATACAAAAGAAATATAACGTCGCTGATGAATGATAATATCAATTCTGTAAATAACATCAAAGATAAATACTGTGGATATACCAAGTTGCTTGAAGACAAGAAAGATAAAAAAGTACATATAATATGCATGTGTTCTACTATTATCGGCAGGAAAATATAATGCAGTGGATGTTTTTCGAATAACTCAAAGACAACAAAATATAGAGACCTGCGGTTTCCAGCTATCGTGTTTCACATTTTAATCCCACAGGGATTGCATCAACAGCTTCTTTTTCTCTTTTTTTGAATTATCTTTCTTGTCTTCAAGCAACTTGGTATATCCACAGTATTTATCTTTGATGTTATTTACGGAATTGATATTATCATTCATCAGCGACGTTATATTTCTTTTGTATTCTTCTGACGTCATGTTATGTCCTGTGTTATGTGTAACTTTTACATATATGTAAAAATTACACATAACANCAACTTGGTATATCCACAGTATTTATCTTTGATATTATTTACAGATTTCTCTTCTTGCACATTCATTTCAATAGTCAATAGATTAATAATCAAAGAAGCAGAAATTGATATTATCATCTCAAAAGGTGGATGCACGTCTGATAGCAATCGGTATATTAGCAAATCATCTGGTAAGAAAAGATTTAACCTATAGTTTTCTTTAAAATGATGCAGCGATTGTGCCAGACATGTATGCCTGATACATTCTGTTTGCCTCGTATGCATGTTTTTCAACCGTGCAACGGATACAAAAAATACATA